TGTGTACTTTTACTTTCACAAGATGAGCGTTGCTATTAAGCCAAGATCGCAAGTTCTACCTATTCGGCACGCATATATATATATATATATTTATATATATAGATATATTATATATATATATTTTAGATTTATATATATATATACACGCACACAGGCATACTATATACATGCATACATATGTAATATTATTTATTTTCACGTGAGAAATACTTAATGTTAGACATTTAAATAGCATATCAACATTCGGTAAACATCAATCTCTTTCATCAGATTTCATCGCTGGAACACGATTACAACCGTGTAGAAACTAATATAATTATCAGAATATGTTCTACCTCAAACCCGATGGTTACTGTGGCAGGGTCATCCATAAAAAAAAATAAAAAAAAATAAAAAAAAAAAAAAAAAAAAAAAAAAAAAAAATAAAAATAAAAAAAAAAAAAAAAAAAAAAAAAAAAAGAAAAAAACCAAAAAAAAAAAAAAAAAAAAAAAAATAAAAAAAAAAAAAAAAAAAAAAAAAAAAAAAAAAAAAAAAAAAAAATAAAAAAAAAAAAAAAAATAAAAAAAAAAAAAAGTAAAAACGTTATATATATGAGACAACTTACCTCACAGGATAGGGGCAAACTAAAAGTATTTCACAGTAAACAATTACTTTGTAGAGTATTCCGTTGGTACGGGGATATAGTCCTCAATTATCAGGACTAAAACCTGATGCGGAGAATTCTTCTTCTTCTTGATTCGCGGGTCTTTTCCAGATGGTGACCCGGCCTTGGCTCCCTGTCTTGGTAGTGTCTGAGACCTATGTTTGCCATGGGAGGAGGTACAAGTACCTCCTCATCTTCTGGGACCAGCTGTTCCCAGGCCTAGCCCCATTCCACGCCCTCACAGGGCTCGTATAATGAAGCTAGGCCTCTGGTCTGCCATTTTCCCCACCCCAGGGGAGCTCGTGGGAATGACAGTCTTGTGAGCTGCTGGTGGTAGCAAGCTGAGGCGGAGGCAGGAAGGTGGACAGTTATATACTGGAGCCAGAAGGTGGGTGCAATAATTCATAAGTTATCACTGGCGGGTGGTTGCCACTTCTCCAGTAGGTAATCTCTGTAATGAATTATAACGCCGCTGTATGGAGATACGCCTTCAGAAAAAAAGACTTTAAATAGCTACATACGTGTCTTTTTCAACAATTTGTCCGTACTGTGAAAATTTCATGTAATGACACTTGTCTAACACAGCAAAAATATGATTCGTGGTTCAGAGGATATCTTGTACAACTTGTTGACAACTTCTGGCCCAACTCTTCGGCATGACCTGCTCCCACTTCCACCTGTGACAATACCTTCAACTGCTGTACCTAACTTGTGTTTCCCGTATGTAAGTGTCCATCTTCCTGACGTGGTTTCAGATTGATCAAAGCTAAGAGACTGAACACCTGTGAATCCTGGACGATCGAATACCTCATCTTCCACTGTCTCCAGTATACAATCTCTGTACTGAATTAAATAAAAAAAATCAATTGTTGGAACATTTGTCTTTTTCATTAAGACTGAATGTTAGTAAGAACAGCACAGCAACATAGGCAAGTTTGTTAACTGTTAGTAAGAGCAACACAACACAGGTAAGTTTCTTATGTGTTAGTAAGAGCAATAAGTGTACATTGGTACTACCTTCTCTTTCCTTGATCGAATCATATTGCCTCCTGTCCTCTGGAGCTGTATAATTCCTATGGGTTTAGACTTAGCCCATGAATGTAATTAATAACGATTTCAGTAGTAATCAGTACTGGAATCTATGGTAAGTGTTAGTACGAATAAGACACCAGCACAGGCAACTTTGCTAAGTGTTAGCAAGAAAAACACATGGAACTTTGGTAAGTGTTATTAGGAGTAACATCAACTCTGCTAATTTTTATTAATGTTAATGAGAGATAAAACTCATCTCGCACAGAGATACTAGCGAAATTTTTTCGTTTTTGGTCTGTCAGGACGCACTAGAGCTAAATACTCAGACACACAAACACAAAACACACACACACACACACACACACAACTCACACACTCACAACACACACACACACAACACAAACACACCACACACCACACACACACACCCAAGGAAAAACTGGCAGGGGAGTCAGTAAATGAGATGATGGAATATGTAACAACAATATGCAAGGAAGCTGAGGAGAGGTTTGTACCCAAGGGTAACAGGAATAATGAAAAAGCCAGGATGAGCCCATGGTTCACTCAAAGGTGCAGGGAAACCAAAAGCAAGTGTTGTAGGGAATGGAAGAAGTTTAAAAGGCAAAGGACACAGGAGAATAACAAGAGCAGACGTAGAGTCAGACATGAATATGCACAGGTAAGAAGGGAGGCCCAATGACACTATGAGAATGACATAGCAGCGAAAACCAAATATGACCCGAAGCTGTTGTACAAACACATCAGGAGAAAAACAATAGTCAAGGACCAGGTAATCAGGCTAAGGAAGGAAGAAGAGATCACAAGAAACGACCGCGAAGTATGTGAGGAACTCAACATGAGATTCAAAGAAGTGTTCAGAGAAGAGACAGAAGGGACTTCAGAAAGACGGAGAGGTGGGGTACACCACCAGGTGTTGGACACAATACACACAACCGAGGAAGAAGTCAAGAGGCTGCTGAGCGAGCTAGACACCTCAAAGGCGATGGGGCAGGATAACATCTCTTCATGGGTCCTGAGAGAGGAAGCAGAGGCGCTATGTTTACCACTAACAACAATATCCAACATATCTATCGAAACAGGGAGATTATCTGAGGTATGGGAAAACAGCAAATGTAGTTCCACAGGTTTTTCATAAAAAAGGAGACAGACTGAAGCACTAACCTATAGACCAGTGTCTTGGAATGTATAGTATGCAAGTCATGGGAGGAAAATTATCATGAAGAGTGGTGGAACACTTAGAAAAGGAAATGAGTTTAACAGCCAACATTTCAGGGGCGGGAAATCCTGTGTCACAAACCTACTGGAGTTCTATGACAGGGTGACAGCAGTAAGACAAGGGAGAGAGGGGTGGGTCGATTGCATTTTCTTGGATTGTAAGAAGGCGTTTGAAACAGATCCACATAAGAGATTAGTGCAAAAATTGGAGGACCAGGCAGGGATAACAGCGAAGGCATTACAATGGATCAGGGAATACCTGTCAGGAAGACAGCAGCGAGTCATGTTACGTTGCGAGGTATCACAGTGGGCGCCTATGACGAGTGCGGTTCCACAGGGGTCAGTCCTAGGACCGGTGCTGTTTCTGGTATTTGTGAACGACAAAACGGAAGGAATAGACTCCGAAGTGTCCCTGTTTGCAGATGATGTGAAGTTGATGAGAAGAATTGAATCGGAGGAGGACCAGGAAGAACTACAAAGAGATTTGGATAGGCTGCAGACCTGGTACAGCAATTGGCTCCTGGAGTTCAACCCCACCAAATGCAAAGTCATGAAGATTGAGGAAGGGCAAAGAAGACAGCAGACAGTACAGTCTAGGGGATCAGAGATTACTAACCTCACTCAAGGAAAAAGATCTTCTGGTGAGAATAACATTAGGCACATCTCCTGAGGCGCACATCAACCAAATAACTGCTGCAGCATATGGGCGCCTAGCAAACCTAAGAATAGCATTCCGCCATCTTAATAAGGAATCGTTCAGGGCCCTGTGCACTGTGTACGTTAGGCCTATATAGGAGTATGCGGCGCCAGTTTGGAACCCACACCTAGCCAATCACGTAAAGAAACTAGAGAAAGTGCAAAGGTTTGTAACAAGACTAGTCCCAGAGTTAAGGGGCATGTCCTACGAGGGGAGGTTAAGGGAAATCGACCTGAAGACACTGGAGGACAGGAGAGATGGGGAAGACACGATAAACGCATATAAAAATATGAGAGGAATTGACATGGTTGGGACAGAGAAGCATTTTCCAAAGATGGGACACAGCAACAAGGGGACACAGTCGGAAGTTGAAGACTCAAATGAATCACAGGGATGTTACAATGTATTTCTTTAGTCACATAGTAGTCAGGAAGTGGAATAGATTGGGAAGCGATGTAGTGGAGGCAGGACCCATTCATAGCTTTAAGAAGGGGTATGATAATGTCATGGTGCCGCCAGAGTGACAGTGAGCGGCAATGAAGAGGCGGGGCCCAGGAGTTATGAATCGACCCCTGCAACCACAACTAGGCGAGTACAACCAGGTGAGTACTGGTTTTAGATCCTGGTAGCAGACACACTTGTATCATACATACTAGTACCAGAAATATTGGTGCCACACAGACTGATGTAAATGCAGCACCACAGGGTAACACCATATAAATGCCACAGACGAGTTGAACAATAATACTTGTGTTAGTAGCGTGAGTTCCTGAGAGTTGCACAATAATACTTGTGTTAGTAGCGTGAGTTCCTGAGAGTTCCACAATAATACTTGTGTTAGTAACGTGAGTTCCTGAGAGTTGACCAATAATACTTGTGTTAGTAACGTGAGTTCCTGAGAGTTGAACAATAATACTTGTGTTAGTAACGTGAGTTCCTGAGAGTTGACCAATAATACTTGTGTTAGTAACGTGTTGGCCTGGTTTGCGTCGTGACTGGCTGCCTAACACGCCAAACATGTTACCGTCAGTCTCAGCCTGATACGCTTAGCGTGTAAAGGAATTTAGTACTGTACAGTGATGATTACTGTGTACATGTCTACAGGAAAGTTGCAGCCATGTACACAGTCATGCCTTTCATGTTGCTGCATTACAGCAGCCATGTACAAGTGACGCTTAGCGTAAACATGACTACAACATATACACAGTAACGTTTGTGTACAGGGACCACGGAAGCGAAAAGTTAAAATCAGGACCACAAACGCGGCGTCACGGCGACAATTGGTTTTAAAGGTTTTTTTGGGGGGGGCTGTAAGCAAGAAGGTGTTAAGAAGGGTTGCTGATTGATAAAATGCTCCAGCTATAGTAGCAGAAGCAGATACAGTATATCACCTGCTTCCTCGTCCACGTTTTCTTGGATCCTTTCCTGGTCACTCAGCGTATCCGTAGTGGTGGGCGTGGGTGTGGTGGTAGGTGGAACTTCTGCAAGTAACAAGTGGGATGTGTAAAGCGATGACAGTGGGTATATACGGTGGTAGAGTTCAGAGCACTTTGAAACGACTGCTTTTCCCGACTGAAGATGCGTGGGTAAGTCTCCTTACGCTTGTTAACGTTGTTCACCTAGGAGCAAATAGGTACCCAGTTGTTGCGGTAGTCGATTTTTATGGGTGACATCCTGGGATGTAGAAGTATAGGTCAGACAGTGCTGGGCTTCGGAATCTGCTGAGGTAAGATAACATTTAGCCTTTAAAGCCATCGGCGTAGAAGAGTAATACCACCTCAGCAAATTATCAAAAATGGTGATGTTGGGCAGGAATAATAAGGAACCGCTGGTATCGGCTCTCTTCTCCCGTGGCGAACTTGTCTTTCTTAGTTAAGCACTGACAAGAGTGGGTTGTAGTTACTAGTCTATATTGATCATAATTGGTCTAATCATCTCAAGCCAGAGTAATTCTAATAATATAACATACAGATTATATCATACACTTTTTTTTTACCCTCTTGCTAAAACCAAAAACTAAGTAATCTCCGAAAAATTACATTTAAACTGCTTTGACATAACATAGCAGTCAAGAAGTGCTCAGTGTCCTTGGCTGTTTTTATTTACAAAACAAAAGTTAATAATTACAGCCTCTCCTCACTTAGCGACGTACTCGTTTATCGACGACTAGGACTTACGAAGGGCTCTCTGACCGGTATACATACCTAAATAATAAATATTAGAGCTGATTTCCTCAATTCTGTTAATTACAATATAGTAGGACCGACAGCCAAGTATGTTTCCCTGTCTTACTACGTCAAACAGAATGGATTACATACAACAGATAAAATCCGTCAGCTTGAGATGGGAGACTTCATTTCGGTAACTGATGTATCCTCACGATGTCCACTGTGGGTTCAGTATCTTCACTACCATCGAACCAATAATTATCACTCGGCAAGAGGAAGATATCAGAACCATCACAAACATACAAACATGAGTTATGGCCAACACATTCTGACTTTTTTTGACGATCTGTGATCCTAATATGAGAACTTGTTGTAAATCTCACACGTACTTCTGTTTACTCTGTGTCGACCTAAGACTCTTCTTTGCACTCTATAATAAAACAAACCATACCACGGGAGGGGTTAGAACCCGCGATCAGAGAGTCTCAAAACTCCAGACCATCGCGTTAGGAACTGGGCCAGCTAGCCACAATTTTGAGGCTCTCTGATCGCGGGTTTTAACCCCTCCCGTGGTATGGTTTGTTTGCAGTCGTGTTATTACGATTTCGTGAGTCGTAAAACAATAATAATAATGTAATAAATACATTTTGATTTTTCTCGTGTTCGTCTAAGCCTCTATAGAATTTTTTATGCAAATTAATGAACCAAAAATTTTTTCTTAGTCCCCCTTAATGAATAAATTAAAGACTTTTGACTTACAAAATAAATTTAAACATCCCTGAAAGTTCTGTTTTATTTATTAGTCAGATTAAGTTTTAACAAATATTTTTTCCTAAATATTTTTATTGGCTTCGTTTTTTTTTTTCATATTTTTAACATATTAGTTCCATCAAGTATCTCTGTCTTTGTTACAAGTATCCCTATCTGTGTGACACCAAATATCCGGCTTGTGGTTTACCAGATATCCCTGTCTTTGTTGTACCAATATCCCTGTTTTTTGGTTTATACAAGGTTTCACTGTCTTTGTTACAAGTTTCCCTCTATGTTACACCAAGTATCCTTGGTTTTGTTAAGCAAGTATCCCTGTCTTTGTTGTACCAAATATCCCTGTTTTTGTTATACAAAGTATCCCTGTCTTTGTTACAAGTTTCCTTCTATGTTACACCAAGTATCCTTGGTTTTGTTAAGCAAGTATCCCTGTCTTTGCTGCACCAAGTACCCCTTATCTTTATTACACCAAGTATCTTAATCTTTGTTACAAGTATCCCTGTCTTTGTTCAAGTATCCTATTATAGGTATCCTTGTTGCAAGTATCCGGTTACAAGTATCCTTGTCTTTGTTCAAGTTCTCTGTCTTTGCTACAAGTATTCCTGTATGATACACCAAGTATTCCTGTCAGCATTACATCAAGTATCCCTGTCTTTGTTATACCAAATATCTGTCTTTATTGTAACAAGTATCCCTGTCCTTGTTATATCGAGTATCCCTGTCTGTTACACCAAGAATCCCTGTCTGTTACACCCAGTATTCCTGTCTGGTATAAAAAGTATCCCCGTCCTTCTTTACTCCTGTTCGCAAAATTTAATTTTTTAATCATAACTCAAATATTTATGAGATTAATATTTATCAGATTTTTTTAGTGTCACATATACCGTAATTTTTTCCTCCCGATCCAATTATTGAATTCATTTCGACCACAAATGAAAAAATCTCCGAACTGCGTTTTTAGTATATTTTATTATGTTGCTATTATACCACCATACTGAGACACAGCCCCATCATCACAAAATGGTCGACACTGTAGCAACCATCACACCATTAGTACACTGCTTCTACACACACTCACACCAGGCAGACGGAAGGACTTTCCTTCGAGTCAATCACACTTCACTGATACTCCACAACCACCATACCACCCTACTCCACCACGTAAACGAAAGGACTCACCCACACCTTTCAGGTTGACGACGAAGCTTGAGTACAGCTTGGTGGAGACTTGGCACTCATAGCCGGCGGGTCGGCTGGAAAGTCAACTCCACGAATTATCAACACCATTCCAGGTTTGGGCTCGTTGAATACGGTCGCGACACCCGCTGGTCGTTGCTTTACTTGTACGCTGTCCACCGTCAGGATGTGCAGGTCGTCTGTCTAATCCTCGACACCTGCAGTACATCTGCAGCCTGATGAATATATATGTATATATATATATTTTATATATATATAGATATATATAAAGATATATTATATATATATATATATATATTTATATATATTATATTTATATATATATATAATATGCATAAGATCACAGCAAACAGGTGATTTTAAAATATGCAAAAAACCACTATGAAAGAGTAGGAATTTTCAAGCGCTTTCGTCGACTACTCACATTGTCAAAGTTCCTTGTAATGTGAGTAGTCACGGAAAAAAGCGCTTGGAATTTCACTACTCTTTCTTAGTGGTTGTTTTGCATATTTTAAAATTCACCTGTTTGCTGTGATGATCTTAATTGGCATATATATATATTATTATATATATATATAATATATATATTATTTATTATATATATATATTTTACATCAAAAAGATAAACAGTTGAAAATTTCATCGGATGGGGAAAAAAATCTAAATAATGGACATGTGGAAATCTTATTCTCTAAAATGAGAACGTGAAAAAAAGAACCATTGTTCTTCATTTAACGCCGCGGCCTGGTCACGACCTGGCCCTGGTCACAGACCTGGCCCTGGTCACATAAATTGCCCTGGTCACAGACCTGGCCCTGGGGGCTTGACCTCCCGACATACATCTCCAGGGTGACTGGTAACATGATCGCTGACAATCTGCACAAAGTTTGTTAGTCGCTGTTTCCCAAACACATCATGTATATTAACGAGAGATAACCGATCCTCTCACATGTAAAAGAAAAGAAACTTCTCACATTTTACATAATTAAATCCACAATTGAGGAATTTGCGCTTAAATTTTATGGTCAAAATAAATAGGTAAAAGGAGATACATGCATTAATTATTATAAATGTTTTTTTTTTTTTCTTCTTTGGTTTTATTATCACACTGGCCGATTCCCCACCAAGGCAGGGTGGCCCGAAAAAGAAAAACTTTCACCATCATTCACTCCATCACTGTCTTGCCAGAGGGTCTTTACATACAGTTTTAAACTGCAACATTAACAACCCCGCCTTCAGAGTGCTGGCACTGTACTTTCCCATCTCCAGGACTCAAGTCTGGCCTGCCGGTTTCCTGTGAAACCCCTTCATAATGTTACTTTGCTCCCACTCCACAGCACGTCAAGTAATTAAAAACCATTCTTCTCCATTCACTCCTATCAACCCACGCTCACGCTTGCCTGCTGGAAGTCCAAGCCCCTCGCACACAAAACCTCCTTTACCCCCGACCTCAAACTTTCCTAGGCGACCCGACCCGCATTCCTTCCACAACAGACTGATACACTCTTGAAGTCATTCTGTTTCGCTCCTTCTCTCTACATGTCCGAACCACCTCAACAACCCTTCCTCAGCCCTCTGGACAACAGTTTTGGTAATCCCGCACCTCCTCCTAACTTCCAAACTACGAATTCTCTGCATTATATTCACACCACACATTGTGAATATAATGTATATGTCATATAAATTTATTTAATTCTTATTATTAATTCCACTGGGGCTGAACAGTGCAAAAGAACACCTTGAGAACTGTCGATCAGTGGATGAAAGCGAGTTGAAGGTTGACCTGCAAGAGGACTTGCCAAAGGATTTACGAGAGATTTTAGAAGAGGATTTAGTCAAAAGATAAAGATGATCCAGTGGACAAAATGGAACCAGTGTCACTTGTGGCAAGACAACTTACTACAAGGCCGATTAATCGAATCAGGCAAACATGGAATCGTCCTAACTAAGAGTGGCATCTAAGGCCACCGCATCGACTTTCATCCACCAAGAACATGGATATTTTTTTTTTTTTCACAATTTCACATAGTGAGAATTATGTTAAAAACTAATGGAAGATAAAAGAGGAAAGAGGGATGTACATATTGACATTATAGAGGTACATTAATTTCCTTTCAAATTCGCTCAATTCCGCTTTATTGAATATAATATTTAGTATAAATGTTTTACCTGGAGATAAATGATAATGTATAATCTGTCAACATGACTCAAGAAATCTCCAGCTAGCGTGGCCGTGACGAACTCTAGCTCAAGTCCCTTCACTGCCGAAGGGACTTGAGCTAGAGTTCGTCACGGCCACGCTAGCTGGAGATTCGTCTGTAAAAACTTGCATTTGTGGTCACAGTGGTGCCTGTGCTAATCTTCCTATGGTGTAGAAATATACCTAGTTGGATGAATCTTATTGTGGCTAGCTGGTCTAGTGGCTAACGCGACGGGCTGGAGTTTTGAGACTCTATGACCGCGGGTTCAATCCCGGCCGGGGGTATGGTTTATAATCTGTCATGAGTGCTTCTTTCCCGAGATTCATCAAGAGTGAGCCACAGTGGCCAGAAACCCTGTGATGATTCTCTTGTTTGCTTATAAACTGATAAAATTTAAGCCCAGCATAAGGCAACCAATTCTTTTAACTATTTATCTGTTAAGTCATCAAGTATATTTTCCTCATAAGTTGCTTATCTCTACAATTTAAAATATTTCACGAAATTTGTTATTTTAGCGGACTATTTATACATTTATAACTTTATATATTCTCAATATTAGAGTAATAAATGAAATTTAATTTGTAAAATACCTGCATAAATCAACCTCATTGGGCAAAGAACACTGAGAGACCTTCTGAGGAACCTGGAGGAACCGGTTGACGAACTGACGTGTTGCAGGAGCGTTCGTAAACTGAGGCGTTATTTTCCCCGGAGACTGTATGTCAACTGGTGATATAGCTGATGAACAGTTGATGACCATTCACAACCAATTGACGATACATGGTATATAGATATAGACATGATTTTGGATGTCTGAACCTAAAGTTTTGACCTATGGAAGTTCTCAACTCGTGGATGATGGAAGTCACCATCAGTCAAGGATGATGGAAGTCACCATCAGTCAAGGATGATGGAAGTCACCATCAGTCAAGGATGATGGAAGTCACCATCAGTCAAGGATGATGGAAGTCACCATCAGTCAAGGATGATGGAAGTGTAGATAAACGATTCAGAGAACCGACTAGTTGATAAATTAAACACACATGCAACACTTGGGTATCTTCACTGATTAAACGTTTCGCCACACAGTGACTTCATCAGTCAAATGAAAAGAAGAATGGTGAAATAAAGCCTCAATTTAGTGTTAATGATAAGCAGACATAACTAAAACAATATACAAATAATCATTTCAAATGTCATAGTTTGAGTGCAATTATTTTCACATCATACAGTCCACCTTTTGATTACTGACACTGATAAACATTTAATTTATATAATTGAGTAATTACTTTGAGTGTTGTTAGTGACATAATAATATACTTCCTGTAAATTGCTGCGATTGTAAAAGAGATACCTTTGTGTTTTCAAATATCAAGGGCCAGCAGCAACACATAAACTCTGCAGGTTTGACATGGAAGAGGATGACACAGTTGCGTCCTGGTTTATGTGAAAAACTTACCTGAGGCTTCAAGAAGTCTCTCAGGTGACCAATAGTGACATCACATAGTAAGTTATACCTGTCATTGGCTAAATTTATATACATTAGATAATTGCATAATTGAGTAATCAGACTGCAAATACAGATTTATCAAAGAATTTGCGCTTGTTGCATTAGGAGTCTAGGAGGTAAATCTATAATTTAGATAATGCATGGTACAGAAAATAGTAAATAATTGGGGCTAGATATGTTTAATGACTAAACGACGAAAATCGTACCCATTGGTATAATAGTATGAAATTATTAATTCTAGTTGAACCTGTAATAACAGGCTGGGACTGATAAATTCTGAGCAAGAAATCAATGCTGTGGACTGCGATTAATACGTACATTTGATTAAGGTTTCAGTATTTCAATGCATGGTGCTAGGTCCTTGATTAGTTAATCCACAAAGTTCTCACGTGGTTAGAATTATTTACTTATAATCTCTGTAATGTTGTGTGCCAAACCCGTGATTAGCTAAACGTGGTCAAGTTTAATTAATGTGCGATACCTGATGTTATTTAATTATGTGCTGAACCTTGCAAGTGGGATTAGTAACCTAATAAATAATCATTATTATTCGTCTGGTATATGTAAAATTAGCTGTATGTTAAGAAGTAATTGATTGGGATATATTGATTTGTCTATATGCAATAATAACTATGAGCAATTTGTGACTAATTTTTTTAAATATCTTTAGTTATACGTAAAAAGATCCCAAAAGATCTCCTGCCAATTTCTTGGATGTGAAGACTATATATGCAAATCTCCGGATACACACATCTCTAATTTTTATGAAGACGCAGTGTTGAACGATATATTAATTTGGGTACACCATCACACTATATTTTTTCTCAGAGTGAATTACATTACTGATTATTGTGCACTCTGAGAAGTGACAGATAATTTAAGTGTTGTTAGTGAACGTATTTCGTATTACTATCTTTTAAATTATAATAATAATTCATAATGTTGTATCGACAAACACAGAAATTCATTACCTAGGAGTAGCTGCAATATTGACTCTTACAATGGATTTGCAGGGAGTACAAACAATCGGTTTAAATATTCAGTTTATTTTTCAGCGTGATGGAATCAGACAAGTAAAAAGAAGCTAAATTGATCCTGGATCTTAATTAAGAACGTCAAAGCGTTGACCGAAGAGGAAAGCTAACGTTATATATTATATATATATATTTATATATATATATATATATATATATTATATATTATATATATTTTATAATATATATAATATATATATTTTATATATATATATGGAGTGAGTTAAACAATTTAAGAAACCCAAAGGGGGAAAATAGGGATTTGTCAGATAAAAACAGAGTAGGGGAGTTAGTAGATGGGGAGATGGAGGTATTAGGTAGATGGCGAGAATATTTTGAGGAACTTTTAAATGTTAAGGAAGAAACAGAGGCAGTAATTTCATGCATGGTCGGGGAGGTATCCCATCTTTTAGGAGTGAAGAAGAGCAGAATGTAAGT